TGCAGCAATGTCATAATTACAGTTACTGCCAGATTCTGACCAAAATAGGATTTGGAGCGAAATATACAGTTCCACTAAAGCAAAAGCACATACTGAGCTGTGGGCATGCTTAAATATCCACATTACTCCTGCAGATTCCATCTGCTCTTAACTTGCACAACCATCTGCTCCTATCTGTAATTTGATACAGGCTCCAAATATTTTTGGGTATGTGAGTTTTGCTTACGGTTCCTGTGCCTCATGGGTTTGGGTTTTGTAACCTACAGTAAGCTATAAAGCCTCTACTTTAAGTGAAGTACATGGGAGCAAGAACAGAGGGTGGTAGTCAACTGAGTTTTACTCAGAGTAAGGTAAAAGGTAAAGGTAGCCCTGCCCGTATGGGCCAGTCTTGACAGACTCTAGGGTTGTGCGCCCATCTCACTCAAGAGGCCGGGGGCCAGCGCTGTCCAGAGACACTTCCGGGTCACGTGGCCAGCGTGACATCGCTGCTCTGGCGAGCCAGAGCCACACACGGAAACGCCGTTTACCTTCCCGCTAGTAAGGGGTCCCTATTTATCTACTTGCACCCGAGGGTGCTTTCGAACTGCTAGGTTGGCAGGCGCTGGGACCGAGCAGCAGGAGCGCACCCCGCCGCGGGGATTCGAACCGCCGACCTTTCGATCGGCAAGCCCTAGGCGCTGAGGCTTTTACCCACAGCGCCACCCGCGTCCCCTTTACTCAGAGTAGACCTGTTGAAATCAATGAACATGAGTAAAACTTACGTTGGATACCACCCAGAGAAAGCACTGGCAGCATGAAGAGGGTCTTGTAAAGGTAAAATTGCTCTCATGGCAAAAGATTAACAACAACAACAATTTTGTTGGGTTGCCCCAGCCACTCTGGGCAGCTTCCAACATATATAAAAACGTAATAAAGCATTACACATTTAAAAACTTCCCTATAAAGGGCTGCCTTCAGTTGTCTTCTAAAGGTTATATAGTTACTTATCTCCTTGGCTCGGGGTTCAGATAATTCCATAGCCTCTAACATTTCTCTTATGAAAACAGGGACATCCTAAGGAAAAGCAGGACATTCCAAGATCAAATTAGAAACCAGAGCGGCTTCTGTAAATCTGGAGCTGGCCCTGAAAAATAGGGACACTTGGAGGGTCTAATGTCAATCAGCCTAAAGTGCCTGAGAGGACTCCCTTAATTTGGGGGTGCCCAATAAAATTGCAGGAGATTCAGGACAGACAAAAGGATTTTCTCAGCTCATGCTTGCAGGTTTCCTACAGGCATTTGCTGGCTTCTGTGAGAACAGGATGCTGGACTTGATGGACCACTGGCCTGATCCATCAGGCTCTATGTTCTTAGTTTGAGAATGTCTGCTCTCTCAGACCTGCCTCTGAGCAAAACCTCACCTTGCTGCATTGGTGCTTCTACAGCTAGCCAGAAGGGAGGTTTCACCACTTCCGCTCCTTTTCTGTACTTTTTGTTTTTAAGGAACAGTCAAACAAACAGCGGCCTACATCCTTGTAGTTTCCTTGGGGCCTGTGACGGTTGGGAAAGAATTTAGGTTCTTTTCAGGTCCTTTCCTATTCTGTTAAAATGCATGAAAAGTGAGGCTGGCCCAGCTACTTCTGTCCACAGCTACCTTTGCTCAACGAGACCTCGAATTAGGCCACAGATTATTACAAGTCCAAGTCAGGGAAGGACACTCCTCAGGGATGTTGGGTCTTGCAGAAATCCCTCCTAGTCTTGCATGCTGATGGCAGGAGCAGCTGAGCTGTTTCTTCACAGAGATGGAGGTGAAATGTGTTTGGTCTGCGTTTTAAAGCGAACTGATCTAATTTGTCAGGAATGGATTTATATGTGGATCAGAACACAGCTGTCACACAGACTATACACTTCTCTGAATTATATGATGCAATTTCATTGGGGGAGGGTGCACAAAATTGTATTTTTTAAGGAATTTTTTTTGGGGGAAACATACTGAAAAGCAGAACATTTTAGGGGAAGCACACAGATAAAATGCAAGTTAAATGCATGCAGTTTAAATGTGGGGTTTTCATGCATTTTTTAAATCTGCAAAACATGGGATGGACCACAACTATAATCGAGTCTGTGACACAGTATGGAAAAGTGCTTATCTGTCCATACCTGTTTCTTCATTTATACTGGGTGCCATCAATATGAATCACTGTCTCTGTTTGAAAGGGCAGGGGTTGGGAGGCAGAATGCATTCTGTTAAGCAAATATTGTAGTTGTGTGACAAGAGTATTAATTCCTCCTGGGCCTGAGAAGCTATGTTATAAAGCACTGTTGCATGCCACCCCAATCTCCGAGCAGTGTGAGATTCCAGGGGTTCCAGGTGGAATTAACCAGAGTTTGTGTTTCCTTTGGAATGAGGTTGAGTGCAGACAGTGGTGTCTTTACAATATAAGGTTTATTTACACATATCCACAGTTTGAGCCTACAATGGAGGTTTCACAGCATTAACGCAGCAAGAAGGATTTAGACAGAAACCAAGCATCGCTCTGACTCTCTTGCTTCCTAGCTTGCTGCTTTGCTTCTGGCTCACATCACTCCACACTCAGCTCTCATCCCTTTTCTAACTACCAACCAGTTGAGGGAGGAGCCCTCAACCCATTTTCTGCTTCCTTTATTCACTTAATGGTCCCTTACCTAGGCAATTGCCTCACTAGGAAGCTAGCTTGGCTATTTCAGGAATCAGAAGGGAGACAAGGCATACAGACTACCTCTCCACCAAAAAGCCTCATAACGTGTGTGTGTGCGCGCTGCTTGCTTCATTTTCACCATGTTCTCTGGCCCTGCCCACTTTGGCTTCTGGCCCCTCCTGTTTTACTAGAATACAGTGGTGCCCCGCAAGACGAATGCCTTGCAAGACGAAAAACCCGCTGGACGAAAGGGTTTTCCGTTTTTTAGTTGCTTCGCAAGACAATTTCCCCTATGGGCTTGCTTCGCAAGATGAAAACGTCTTCCGATTCTTGCGATTTTTTCCCGCTCCCCCCCCTTTTTCTAAGCCGCTAAGCCGCTAATAGCCTTTTAGCCGCTAAGCCTTTAATAGCCGCTAAACCGCTAATAGCGCTAATCCGCTAAGCCGCTAATAGGGTTGCTTCGCAAGACGAAAAAACCGCTAGACGAAGAGACTCGCGGAACGGATTATTTTCGTCTTGCGAGGCACCACTGTACAGCCCCCAACAGGTCTCAACTGAGATAATGCACTTTGGTGGCCTTGCAATGTCTGTGTGAGTGAGCAGCAAGCAGGTGTCAAGAAGAGTGGCTAGTGAATGTCAGTGCCCTCTGACATGCCAAATTACGATTCAGCTGTCCAATATTCAAAAGATGATTAAAATCAACAGTAGCTAAAAATAAATAAAATGCACATAACCTCTATATGCCTGGGTAGGCTTGCGTACGCAAAAATGTTTTAACTAGGTGCCATAAGAAAGCAGAGGGAAGGTGCCTGCCTGGTGTCAATAGGCAGGGGGTTCGAAAGTATAGTGCAACTTTTGATCTAGTTTTACTGACGGACTGTGAGTATAAACAAAACTCAGGCACTAGTTCTTAGTAACATCTTTGTATTCTTTATGGCAAGGAGGGGAGAAGTCAGCTTACCGCTGCCACTCCTTTTTTGTTGAATTGGTGGGGGCAAGATGAGGCCGGGATATATAACTGCTTTGACTCACTGACCAAAGGGAGAGGCCAAAGCATATTACTAGGCCAGGGTTTAAAGTTTTGTTTTCTAAAAAATTTTTTTATATTGCTGTACACTCCTCTTACATTTTTATGAAAGGGCAGTATATAAATACTTTTATAAATAACATAAATAAATAAATGCTGTTGTTCATCACACACTGTCACACACATACAGTACTATGCTAAAATGTTCAGCAACTTTGCCTAGGGCCTTTGTGGGACAGAGGTTCAGCGCACAGCTCCTTAAAGGAGGGACTTTATTGATGGTCCTTTTCCCCAAACACAGGATGTTCCACGGAGCAAACACAGATTTCAGCCCCTTTTAGCAGGCTTGGAAAGGCTGTGAGCTGTTAGTGCCAGCCAACAAGCAAAGGAACTGCTCCAAAAGAAATATCGCGTCAGGCCTGCCAACTGTGGAGTGCTTTCGGGATCACTCTGGTGTGGTATGTCGGCCAAAGAACTGGCAGCTGTAGAGACTGCTGGATACCCGCCAACAGCTTGACGTTGGTTCTGCAAAGGGGCATTCTGGCCACAGAGACGTCTTTCTGCTCCTGCCCAGGGCTCCATTGGTACTGCCGTAAGGTCTGCCGGCAGTCACTTGCAACTTGCGCCATTTCTCAGGGCCATTTTTGTAGGTGTAGGTTTGTGACTCAAGAGAAACTCACACTGCTTACATGTGTGTAAAGCCATCTTCACACCATACATTTAAGGCACTATCATACCACAGTCATGCCTCCACCCCAAGAATCCTGGGAACTGTAGTTTGTTAAGGGTGCTGAGAGCTGTTAGGAGGCCTCCGATTTCCCTCAAAGAGCTACAATTCCCAGAGTTCTCTGGGAAAGCAAATTGGTTGTCAAAATTGCTATGAGAACAGGCGCTCTGTGGAGGGAATAGGGTTCTTCTAAAAAACCTTTTCAGGTGCCACACATTTCCCCTACCATTTTAACAAGCTAGGAGTTGGGGTGCAGATATCAGAATAGTTAACAGGGTGGTGGGCACTGTCTCCTACTTTACCGATGGCATCCTCTGTTTGAAGGCTGCTGGGCCTAAATCTGATTTACAGAGAAGGAACTCCTAAGAGGGGAGAGCAAGAGGGGCCTTGAAGTTGTTAACAGCACATAGAAAATAGGCCGAGAAGGCACCTGACCGTGGTCCTCCTCACTTTGGTGAGATTAGGGATGGACTGGCCGTTTTGGTCATGTACTTCCCAGTTGTACATGCTTCCGTGTGGTTTTTAAAAGGGGGGATCCTTAGGGTCTGTGTAGAAACGCAAATATAAAATAAAGAAACAGAAGTACTTACAAGGCAGTCCATGGGCTCCAGCGCTGACTCAGTCCATTCTTAAAAAAACAACCTTTTGAACATCAGAAGTCATTTAGTCGCTCACAGCCTGAAGTGGCTAGTGTGGGGGCCTTTTTTGCTGCTGCATGCTTAGGGCAGGGCCATGTTCACACCATGTCTTTAAAGCAATCATAGACATTCATGACTCCCACAAAGCATTCTGGGAGCTGTGGTTTGTTAAGGGTGCTGAGAGTCGTTAGGGAGGCCTCCTATTCCCCTCACAGAGTTTTGATTCCCAGAGTTCAGAGTACTGTGCAATCTGATTGATAACTGTGTTCTAATCCAGCTTTAAGTTTGGGAACTGGGACTCAGGTCAGTTCACTTTAAGAATGTGCAAAGATCTTGCTGAATCAGTCCAGTGGCCTATTTAGTCCAGCATCCTGTTCTCACAATGGCCAACCAGATGCCCTTGGGAAGCTCACAATATGGGCCTGAGCTCAACAGCACTCTCCCCTTCTGTGGTTTCCAGAGACTGGTGTTCAGAAACATATTGCCTCTAACAGTGGAGGTGTTTTTGACAAGTTTTGAAATCGAAAAATATGCAATTTTACACAATTTAAAGTTTGTGCAAAATTTTATTTCAGTTTTAGTATAAGTGATTTTTAAAAAAAGAAGTAGAGAGAAATGTCAAAATGAGCTGAAGCTCTCTGTAAATGTGGACTAGACAAAATTCTCTTCCATCCCTCATTAAAGTGAAACAAGCCCACACACACATGAACAGATCCTAAACCAGAAGCACAGTCAGAATAAGATGGTGGTCCAATGAATGTCGTCAGATTTGCTGCTAAGGAAACTATTGTGGCTTTTAAGAAACAACCCAAGATATGTACACAAGCAAACTAGATTTTGTATTATGCTATGAGACTGCAGACTGGTAGAGGGTTGGTTTTTTTTTTTAAGATCCATAGTTTCTTAAGGGTGAGGCTGGGTGGGAATGGTTGGAGAACTTTATAACCCAACAATCTGTTCAGCCTTGCACTCCCCTCAGTGTTTTGTATGCAAGGGGAGCTGACCTCCTCCTTGAAAGCCAAGAGTACTATTCCACGTGGCGCCGTGCCCCACACTGGCCCCTTTGTTCTTCCTGCCCCACTGTGCTGCTTGTTGGTGGAGCACAAGTTTGGAACACAAGATGGTGTGTCCAGAGCAAATGTAAATATTGGATTTTCCGCTGTGGTTACACAGGCAGCCTGCAGTGAATTTACCTCTCTCACTGTGAAGTTTGCACAGAGGCTTCTTTCATCTCTGGGTGTTTCATGGAGCATGGTGGTTGCTGCCAGGTTCCAGGCTTCCCAAAATCAGGCTGTGGTAGGAACCAGGAACATTCCCAACAGAGCCCTTTGTGCACTGGGGAAGATGTTTAGAAGACATTGACTTGCCCAACAGAAAGACTAGTTTCCTTGTTCTTCTTCCTGGTTTGAAGGGCTGATGAAGACTCCAGGTGAGTGGACTGCAGTGCAGGCCTCATCATCGGCCTGGATTTATACATAGGGATCTAAAGCCACGGCTAACAGGGGATGATGACATTATAATAATCCAGATCCTGAGAGCGCAACAACAACAGCATGGCCAGCTCAAGACTGAGATGAAAAACCCAAGCCCTGCAACCTGGCAGCTGCATGTGTGGTGTGACAGAGGTGTCTTACCAACACTGGTGTCGCTGCTGCTCACCTGTGTTTTCCGTGGCTTTTGTCTTGGTGGTTGTGAGGAATAAGAACGTGCTTTTTCAAAAGACTATAAGGTTGCAAACGGCTAAGTAATCACAGACTTGCTCATAGGGCGTACCTTTAGAAAAGCTTGTGGTTAGGATGCTCATAGATAAGGGCCTTTTGCAACCGAAATGCTGTTTATTGTATGCTTCGCTGATATGGAACTCGTTTACACCCACTAGTGGTTGGGATGTGGCTTTATCACTTGAGTCAATGTGTAAAAACATAAGAAACATGGACCAAAGGTAATCAAGGGTGGTAGCTGCCAAAATTAGAGTAATGGTGTAAGAAATGAAAATGTTGCTTTTCATATAAAAGCCACAAGGCCGCGGCTATGATGTTGCTTTGCTCAAGACCATAGTTACTGGAAAGCTTCAGGCATAATGTTGCATTGTACAAGGATGCTAGGCAATCTCAGAGAAGCAGGCATCTTGCTGACACCTGGTAGTGGTCAGAACGTGGGCATGATAAGTAGACAAGCGTCAGCAAGTATAGAGATCAATTCACACTTATCTCCAGGTATTTTTGTTTGGCTTAGCGTGTAGTTGCAAAGGAAATAGACCAAATAAGGGAAATAATGAATAATGTTAGTAGGGTAATTAGGCGGTCATGATAGGCTGTAAACTTTGTAGTCCCCACCCAAGGGGGATACAAGGGAGGGACCTGCGCTTCGGGTGTAGGGGATATAAGCTTGTGTCTGCTACTTTTGGACACCCACTCTTGCAAGAACACTTTTGCAATCAATAAATTCTTTGCTGCTTCACCAATTTTGTTCAGATTTTATTTTGAAGGTCTCAGACCCACTTCTGACAGTGGTGTGGAGTTTTTCCACAGCACCTGGACAAGGGTGGCATGCTAGTAAGGTTTGGGCCATGCAGGTGCACCAACAGGAGCGCCTGATTGGTTGTTCCACTGGTGCGGCTACATGGCCCAGACCTTGCCACAACCCTTGTCTGTCCCTGTCCAGCCAAGCAGCAGCAACACCAGCGTTAGGAGGGTGGCTCCACAGCTCTGATACACTAAGCATGCCTTTACTTCTCCAGTCCCTGCAGGCTGAGCACTTGGCTTTCCCAGGACACATATGTGCATCCATGTGTCAAGCCACACCAGTAAAACTTCAACTCTGTAGTCCCAGGGCAACTGGCCATTGGGGCTAGGGGTGTTTTGCATCCCATATTTATCACACGCGCCACCGTTTCTGTTCTAGAGCGGTTCATCTTCTGCCAAAAACTCTGTTATTCATCTTGCTGCTCGCTGCGATGAGATTACATAACTTGTGTAATTTACATAATTACATAATTTCCATCCTGGGCTCCTTTGGGAGGGTGGGACATTATATGAACGAATATGTAATATGAATGAACGAATGTGTAAATTGTGTTGTAATTTCCACTCCATATGTTCTAATGCTAAGGAAATGCAATGCAAAGGGGGAGTGGACATAATCAAGTATGTATCATTTTGGACTGAAAGCAGCAGCAACAAACTGATCATATTCACTGGATTGATTTCCGATCCAGATGTGGGATGCATAAGCGAACATTGGCAAATTCATTTCCATCAGAATTCTCTGCACATCCTACTTGAGCCTAAGTATTCTTTTTTGGTAGAGAGTGGGGGAAGAAAGCTTCTTTTAGTTGCTCTTTCTTTGGCTGATGGATGGGACCAAGTTGGTCTCTTCCTTACCTTGATGTTCTTCCTAGGAGGCAAAGGGAGCAGCTCCCAACCAGCCCTTGGTCCCCTTGACCAATGGCTGTGGCCAGAGCATATTTCTCTTCAGTTCTGCAGTCCCAGGGCAAATGGCTGTTGGAGCAGAGTGCTTTTGTTGTCAGGGAGTGGGGAAGCTAGCTCCATTTCTGGTCAATGGTTGGGCCCCATCTGGACTTCCCCTTGCCTTTGTGTTCTTCCTTGAAGGCAGGGGCTACACAGCCCTTGTAATAAATAAATGTGTGCGTGTGAAAAATATATTTCCCATGAAATGCAGAATAATGCTTCCCTCACGGAAGGAGGCATTTATCACTATTATACTGTTAATTCACACCATTTAGTCCTCTATTGCATTTTCCCTGAGATCCATTATATGTAATAAATGAATCTACTTAACTAACACTCTGGAATTGCAGACTGCTTGGGGTATATTAAAAGAAATTGCTGGCACCCTAAACAGATAACCTGCAGGGGTACGTTTATAGAAAACAAACTATATTGTTTATGGTAGAAAGCACCCTCTGGGTGATTCAAGGCAATTTGCCCAGGCAGAGCAGCAAATGGTGGCTTCCCAACCCCTAGTCAAGTACCAAGGCTGACTGGCCCAGTTATTTTTTCACCTGATGCAGAAAATCCCACAAATACCTCTTCCTGAGATTCAAACAATGACAATAATAAACAGGTAAATAACTATTTGCAGCCCTTTCATGTTACTTGGCTTTTCCAGGTGACAACCTCCTTTTGCCTAACAACAGGGCCGGCCCAAACCCAGTGGGAAAATTAAGTCAGGCCCTTGTAATGTGAACAAGCATTTCTGTCCAAAATGCAGGCTTTACATTTGCATTACAACCTGTCTGAAGCAGGAGCTGCTTGAAGCCATGTGTAAGAATGCGCTCGCTCTCATTCACAAGCTAAGCAGCCCTGGGCCTGGAAGAGAAGCCATGAAGTATAACTATGCACATATCCTGTGGGAAATCCTTCCATGTACAAAGCTCCTCTGTTGCCCCCCACCTCCCTCCCTAACACTACTTAGGATATTTGTATGTGTGTGGTGAGGGAAACTCGGGACTCTTAGCAGGGCTGTGTGGAAACTTCTGTCTCTCTTCAGCTTCCCGCCCCCCCCCACCTGAGCTGCGTCACATTCAGCACACACAACTTCTCTGTCAGCCATTCTCTGGGCCTTGAGTGCATTCTTTGTTCCACGGTGCCTTAAACGCATACGGGAAGGATATACGTCATGGGCCCACCTTGGACCTGATCTGATGTGCAATGTGTGTTCAAAGTAGCTGCTTAGAATGGTGGAAACAGGAGAGACCACTGGAGTCTTGTAGTTGTTTTGAGACCCTTACTGGGAGCTGGTTGTTTGCCCATTACACCAGCCCCTAAACAGGCAACTCAGGGACATAAAATTATTATTATTAGAAACATGCTGAGTCAGTCTATTGGTTCACCTAGCACAGTACAGGTCTCCCGACCTGGCCACAGTGATCCATGCAACGGTCATCTCCAGGCTTGACTACTGTAATTCGCTCTACGCGGGGCTGCCCTTGAAGCTGTCCCAGAAACTCCAGCGGGTGCAGAATGCTGCAGCGAGGCTCCTCACGGGGTCTCTGCCATGGGAGCATATTCACCCAGTGCTTTTCAAACTGCACTG